GGTTCCGTCCTAATAGGAGTTGCTGTGACCAGGTAATGGCACTTACTACCCATATAGAAAATGGGTATGATAGGAATGTTAAAACAGCAGTGGCATTCATAGACCTATCATCTGCCTATGACACTGTCTGGAGGAAAGGGCTCTTATCAAAATTCCTGGATGTGATCCCATGCTTAACATTATTAAAACTTCTCAATAATATGCTTAGTAACAGATTTTTTACTGTTTTTATTGGAGAGGAAAAAAGTAAAATAAAGATGCTAAATAATGGCCTCCCTCAAGGTTCTGTCTTGGCACCTCTTCTCTTCAACCTATATATCAAGGACCTACCAGCGACAACTGCAAGAAAATTTATATATGCTGATGACCTAGCACTAGCGTGCCAGAGTAAAGAATTCGAAGACCTAGAAAACATCCTGTCTGAAGACCTTGATACATTACATACGTTCTACAATCAATGGAGACTCAAACCCAATCCATCAAAAACGGAAGTCACCCTCTTCCATCTGAATAACAGAAGGGCAAATCAGGAGATACAGGTGCAGTTTGGAGATCAGCTAGTGAAAAACAACCCCTACCCTAAGTACCTGGGTGTGGTATTAGACAGAACGCTCACTTTCAAGAACCATCTAGTCAAACTTTCAGCGAAAATAAAGACCCGCAATAGTATAATTGCCAAATTGAGCGGTACATCCTGGGGAGCTGATGCAAATACCTTACGAATCAGCGCGCTAGCACTAGTATATTCAGCTGCAGAATACTGTGCCCCAGTATGGATAAATAGTGCACATACCAATAAACTAGATACACAGCTTAACTCAGCAATGAGAATCATAGGGGGAACATTAAAAACTACCCCTTTAAAATGGCTCCCAGTACTTAGCAATATAGCTCCCCCTAAGATCCGAAGAGAACAAGCTCTCATCCGGGAATGGACTAAGATAAAAAATAACAAGAACCTTCCGGTTCACGCAGATGTAAGGCTAAATGTGGATAGACTACGTCTTAAGTCACGCAAACCACCCTGGAAAACCGCAGAGATGCTATTACTGGAAAACACAGGGGAAAATACCAGATGGCTTGAGGATTGGATGGCGGAGAACCCTGATGGACAAAACATTGTTACCAATCCAACATCCAAGCAGCCAGGCTTCGATCTGCCTAGAAAAATTTGGGTGACCCTAAATCGCATTAGGACCGGTCATGGAAGATGTAACCACATGATGTACAAATGGAAATTACACACCACTCCTTCATGTGACTGTGGAAATGATATGCAAACTATCTCCCATATAGCAATTGAATGCCCGTTCCGTGCATTCAAAGGCACTATAAATGATATCCATACAGCTAACATGGATGTGATTGATTGGATACAAAATCTGGACATGAATCTTTAGTTTGTAGTTCCAAATTTATCTCAGCTATAATAGTTACCACCTGCCATATTAGACATATAATTATTTTATTTTATTTTATATTATTTTATTTCACTATTATTATGTGTACCCTACATTATATAGTTTGTTATTATTTACATGTTTAAATTTGTTGCTCTACTTTGTCATACGAAATATATATATATATTGCACGAAAAAAAAAAAAATATATTGTAATAGATTTTAAGAATTCATATTATATTAAAGGATTAATTTATATTATATTAACACTAAGATAAGATTATTGTTGTAAAACAAAAACGGGAAAAAAATATATTGTTAATCACATAAGATACTAACCTAGATAATAAGTAAAATATATACTGTAATATTGTGGATTATAATTTGTAATTGTCAATAACATTTTAATAAATATAACCAGGAAAGTATGGTGGAATGTACCATATAATTCAATAATGTAACTAAATATCTGTAACAAACATCATATTATGTAAACATGTAATAATTGAATGTAATGAAATAATTTATATATGTAACTTGTAACCACATGGAAGTGCTTGAACTAATGGAGGGATGTTTGAGTTAATTTTTCTCATTTTAGACGATAAAAATCAACTTTTAAAGGGGGAGATGTAGTAAGCCAGTTACTACGGAGTAACACCAATTTCATGAGTACATACATAGTTATTATTATAATATACGATAGACCGGCATAACCGGGTAGTAAGGAAAGTAGGGTTCAGCATAGGCGCATTAACCTTGGACAGAAACAAAACCAATCTCAGAGGTACATAGTTATTATATTATAGTTACGATGGACCGGAATAATCAGGGAGTAAGAAATATGGGGTTCAAAAATAGGCGTTGTAATATACCACAGAAATACTGAACATATACAACGAGATCCAGAATTAAAATAATAATCATGGGGAAGACACCGAATACATACGACGAAATTCAAATAAAAAAAACAAGAGTAGAATAATTATTTTAATAATAAGCCATAGTTGATAATACAGTCAACCATAGATGCGTGGGCTGGGATGATGAGCACACAAATCACATCCGTGAGAACCGAGATATCGTATATGTAGGCAAGGGGTACGGGGAACCTCATATATAAGGGAGCCCGAATCAGCCTGTATTCAGACGTGTACTACCACCCATTAGTGCAAGCACCTTCACGCCACTCTGTAGAATATTATTTGGACTTAGAAAAATTATCGAACGTTATAATAAAAATTCACAATATATTACATCTGTCTTATCATTCATTGTCTACCACGACTACAACATCAAATAAAGTGTCTGCGACCTGCAATTATAATAACTTGGTTGCCACTTATCTACTGTCAGTACTACGATAGTAGGTACCAAGCATCCAGGCTTATTACACGTGATTACTGTGTGACGACGTCGTCGTCTAAACAATTATAATAATATTATAATATAATACAAATCGTACCACTATATAGTGTTTTTTTGCAATGATATAATATTATGTAATACATTTTACAATTGTTTTTTTTTTTAATAATAAAACACATGTGTTCAATACGAGATCGTACCTATAATTAGACATTGTAGTCATTAGTATTATTTACAATTATTTATTTTTTTTTGACTACGCTTAATATTGTGATGTTTATACAAGTTAAATATATCTCAGACATTTGTATAATATTTCAGAATAATTTTTTTTTCCAACTATAATTCTCTATTGACTCTGTATAATAGTAAACATATAATTTATTTATGATTGTATAAACGTAATAAATCGTATAACCATAATAAAGTATTATATTTCAACAAGTTTCAGTTTCGTGGTGTAAAACAACGCCGATACTTACCGACGATTAAAATATATATCTCACTCTTATTATTTAGAATAATTATTTTTTCAACTATAACTAAAATGACGATGTATATTGACCGTATATAATATAAACATATTATTATATTTTGACAAGTTTCAGTTTCGTGGTGTAAAACAACGCTGTTACTTACCGACGGTTAAATATATCTTGGACACTCGAAATTATTTAGAATAATTTTTTTTACGATATCATAATACCCAACACACTCTCTTTACAATAAATTATGAATAAAAATATATTACATAAAAGAAACATGATATTATATTTTAATAAATTGTATTTATAAATTGTTGGAGTGTTGATGAATTAAAAAATATTAAAAAATTACAATAAAATAATTTATAATTATATTACAATATTACAAATACAATCGATATTATAGTCTAAAATTATGCTGTATAATGATGAAAAAAAGAATTTTTTACAATATCACATTATTAATATAATTACATTATTATGTTACATATTATGCCTACACAATTTCATAATACATTTAATTTATTAATTAATAGTATAAACTTGAAAAAAAAATCGATAATATAAAAAGCATAATATTAAAATATAATTTACGTATACATGTTCTAAATAATTAAAAACATTTCGTTTTTTTCCATTAATCAGTCTATACTTTACGATCATCAGTTTGATTAATATTGCAAAAAATTATAGAAAATATTTTTTTTTTATTTTATTAAACTTACATTGTTATGTAGGATAATATACTAAATCGTTAGTAATATTACTTAAAAATTTAAATCGTTGAACTATTGAAATAATATAAAAAAAAATAATTATCAATATGAGTACATACTTATATATTATATATATTATACACATGTTATTTCTTTTTACGTTGCTCTTCCGCGGCACGTCTGTGTCGGATTTCCCAAGACATGTTGTGAAATGCCATGCTGTCTCTGGCCTCTAACCACACAGGAGTGTTGTTCTTTTTAGCAGCTTTTTCCAAATCACTCATAACTTTGTAACCTGCCTTACCGGCATATTTATATTGAACACCGTTACTTCCGTATTTACAACTACCGTTGCTACTACTGCCGCCGCTGCTGCTGCTGCTTCCGCTGCTAGAAGATCGAGATATACCTCCAAGAGATTGATTATTATATACATCAGTTAGTGAAATCCTACTAGTGTCTAGTACAACCATTACTAGGCGATGGATGTCTGTTGAAATCTTTTCTAGACGTACCCATGAAAGTACAGATATTCGGAATATGGCTAGTATTCGTAGCTGCGGCGAAATCCATATAACTTTTATTTGAATTACTAGACGATTTAGACGACGACGACGATGATTTTTGTTTATCGTTTTTAAACATTTTTTTTATCGTATTGTTAAAAATTATTTATTATTTTGAAAATATATCACCACTAACGAACAACAAAAATGTTAAACCGGTATCGAGATAAAATCCAAGACGACTGTGAGATTTTAAAGTTTTACGGTTTATTTATAGCCAGTGGCATACATTCTTCCCCACTCTGAGCCCACGTCGAAGTAGGTCCAACGGTATGCGACGAACAAAAAAACATCTGTTTTGATACAGCAACCATAGTATTATACCACAATAGTATTATAAAAATTGTTTTATATTAAAGAAAATAAATAAATTTACAAAATTAACAAAAAAAAAAAATAAACAATCACAAGATCGGAGTACAATAATTGAGAATAGCTAATATACAGTTCTGACCAGTTAGATTATTATTTACCGTAAGTACTTTCTAATCTATTATACGAAGGTATATATTTTTTATTTTTGAGTTTCGTAAAGTCTATGGAAAAATCTATTTCTTCAAAATTTTCAAGCCGTGTGAGATCTTTATTTTTTACTTTTTGTACTAAATGATTTTGTACTATTTCGAACGTTACGTCATTTGATTTATTCTGGAGAATGTTGTGTAATTGTAAAACGCAGGACAAACAACAGTCGACGGCAGTATTTTCGTTAATTAATAAATTTTCAAAACCGGGAATGGTAAAGTTTGTCCGACATAATTTACATTTATTTTTTTTGTTTTCGTGGGGCGTTAATGTATCGGTATTTGAAATTACTCCAAAAGTTTTAATTTGGTTTAAAATTAAGTATTTATCGGTTTTTGATATTTTATACGGTTCTATCATTTTTTTTTTCTCTAGACGCCTTAAAAGGTGCATATTATTTAAAATTTTACTGGGACATTTCGACATCAATGACACTACTGCTGTAGATAATATTTTTTTTTTTATTCGTTTTCTTGTTAATTTTTCCATACGGTTATCGTTAAATTCATCGGAATAATTTAACTTTAAATCTTCGAATAATAAATTTTGTTCTCCGATAGGTAATTCATCGTCATCGTCAGGATCATAGTCATCGTCGCAATCATCATCATCATCATCGTCATCGTCGTCGTTGTCGTTGTCGCCGTAATCTTCACCGTCCTCGGTATCGTCGTTATAACTTTTAGCCAACGTGGTAATCAGACCGTTTGCGTCAGAATTCGTCGTCGTCGTCAGCGATTCGATTTTTCGTTTTTTTAGTCTCTCAATATTACCGTATTCGTAATATTTGGCGTTTATTAATCGGAATGTTTTTTTTTTCGAACCGTATAACGAATCGCTAGTACATTCTATAAATTTATCGTGTAAAGCTATATTCCGATTAGTTAAAACGCAGTCTGTTTCAAATTTTCGTATCGCCATTATGAATGGATTCGACCAACTTTTGGACGGTATCGATGATTCTGTTCGCTTAACTGCCACCGGACTTACTGCGTAATTCAAAAATTTGTGCCCAAAATCCATTAACGTGTCGAGTATCGGCTGTTCGAAACTGATTTTTTTTTTCGGTCGATTAATATTCCCTTCGGTTTTTGATAATCGACTTACATTTTTGCATACAGCTTCTGCAAATTTATTTTTTATTCTCGTGGAATAATTAGCGGTAATCATTGAATTTTGGTAATGTTCTATGCCGTATCTGTTGACATGTTGCAAAAACTGCGGTAAAATCGTTTGATTAAATTTACCAAACAACGATAACGACAACAGACCGGTTAAGCACAGATAGTTGGAAAACCAAACGACAATCAACATGAACATGTTATCAACAGCTACGCATAATTCTAAACTAACGTCAGACGGCTTCGAAAAATATAGCTTGAAAATCTCAAAAACGTCAGATTTATTGAACACCGCTATCTGATCAGCTTTTTCGGACGTAGGAGTTTTCAATAAATTTACGAAAATACTGGGCGGCAAGTTAATCGCCGAAATACCGATTCTATGAAAGTTGCAAGTTTCGATAAACCACCTCAATACCATGTCTTGAGCTTTAATCACTTTATTGAACGTATTACCCGTTAATATATGCTCCACTTTTAAAGACATAAATATTCCGTTGATAATCGATACCGTGGTTTTCGGTATTTTATACCTGGTCAAAAACGTCGTCAGCAGCATCTTTAGTATACACAGCGATCCGATCGTCACGTGGTCCGAGTCTCCGATATTAACGGCACATAGTAATTTCGGTAAAAAAACGTCTTTATTTTTCTCATTTATTTTAGAGGTGTCGGTATGTTTTATTCTTTTAATCTTTAACAATTTTTTTACAATGTCGCATAAAATCATTTTGGATAATTTTCGAGGAGTTTTTTCGCAGTATTTTATCAAATCCGAACTGAAATATCGCCAATACGTCATACACAACAACTCTAACTCTCCGTCGACCAACACGGGCGTTGTCGGGTAACGGTCTTCGATGAATTTCGTAATGACAAATTGCATTTCCGGCACGAACGATGTAGGTATGCATCCGTATGTTAATTCGTACACGGAAATATCGTAGTTATTATTAACCAGCCATTGTCTGATGATTTGCGCTTCCGATTTTTCAATAGAAAAATCTTTTAGACGTTCCCCTATATCGGAGCGCATAACTGTTATGTTATTTTTCGGAATATCCATACCGGTACATACATCCGAAATCCGTGTATACCTTATCGGACAGGGGAATTTTAATGAAACCGCTTCGTACTCTTCGAAAGTCATCGGTTCTTTATCTTCGTAATTTTTAACGAAACGTTTCATCAATTTCGTTTTATTTAAACAATTTTCCAGGGGTTTTCGTAGTTGACATTTTTTACTGAGATCGCGGCAAAAATCTTTGAACCGTTCCGAACGAGTACTCTTACAGTATAATATTAATTTTTCAGTTTCCGATTTTATGAATACCGGGCCGGGGTGAACGTTAGTCGAATCGTCGTATTTGTAAGTAACGAAATTATTACCGAACGGTATTCGGCAATCGTCAGGTTTACCACCAGCCGACGATTGCCGAGTATCTTTTTTTAAATTTAATCTTTTAACGTTTTTTTTTGGTACGTTTCGCAAACTCTTTGAAATCGAAATTATCGTCTTCACTGTCGGTGTCCGTCGTTTCCAATGACCGTGCTGGTGACGATGGTTGTGACAGTATTAATGACGATGACGGTGACGGTGACGATGATATATATATTATAGAATCGGTTGATTTTTGTCGGCCGGCGTCGCCGCAGCCGCCGTAGTGACTAGAAACCGACGGAATAACTTTTACGCACTTGGCTCGTCGATGGGTCGAGTTATCGGAAAATTTCCGTTTACGTATATTATTTGTCGAAATCGTATTAAAGTTTGTAATTTTTTCGTAATTAGTTTCTCGTAAATTTAGCGCATTTCGATTTGCGTCGGGGTCGTCGTCGGAGTCGTCGTAGCCGTCGTCGCCGTCATCTGTTTCCGTACTAGTCGAATATCCGTCAACCGCCGCCGACAGACTATTATGGGGCGGTGGTCCACGCAACGTTATATTTTTACTATTTCGCGGCACGATATTATTATTCGAATTTTTTATCGTATTTACTGTACGTTCGTTATTCATAAAGTTTGGCGAGTTTTTATTTTCGGTATAATAAAGCATTTGTCTTTCTTTATAACTCACTATATGTAAATTATTATCAATTTTCGCCTCGACTTGTTGTTCTATGTATTTGGATTCATCGATTTTTCTTTTTTTCGAAGGTGATTGTCCCGTTTCATTGACTATAATCAAGTCATCATCGTTAATTGTCGAGACGAATGGAGACGACCCGGCGCTTGTATCCGGTTCTGCCGCTGCCACCGCTGTCGCCGTTCCTACGAGTTGATCCGGTGCCGACGACGTTGTTTCTATCGCCGTCGGTGATGCAAACGTCTAAATGCAAACACAATTATTAGATTTACAACGTTGTAATTGAAAAAAAAAATATTATCGTGTCTCTTTATACAAACCATTATATTTTCATATTCTATATTGTTAGGGTCTTCAGTCTGCACATCATCAGCTAACATATTATGTTCGATCAAACGAACTTCTTCGTGGGGGTCGAGATATTCCAAAAATTCGTCATTGAGAAATCCGTTGTCTAAATCCGAAGATGTGGTTACTACAACATAAAATAAATAATAATTTAAATGTGAAAAAAAAATTAATATATTATATTTCAATTAATTATAAGTATACATTTAAATATACGGGCAAAAGACGATAGTCGTATCGAATACATAATAACGTTATCGAGAGACTAGTGACCGACGCACAATTTCAAAAAAACCAATAATGTACGTAACTCTAACCCAATACTTTTAATAATAATTTTAGTAATAATATAATATAATATTATATCAAAATAATATATTTTAAGTGTGACCGAATTATAATTACGGATTGTGAACTCTATTAATATAATTAGTAATTAATTGTAATTACCATTATTAGTGTGTATCAGCGCGTCGTTTGATTCTGTCGGCATACGATACAATTCTAAATCTGCTAGAAGATCTTCTTTGATTTCCCGGTAATCGATATTCAATATTTTATTCATGTACTCGGTCATCGTATCGTGTGATGGAATATGTCCAGTGCAAATTCTTTCCAAGTCACTGTGTGGAAAATATATTATTTATTATTATACACGATATGTTTATAAAATATTAATTATTTAAAATACATACATTATCCTGATTCATTGTGAAGTTGAAACGAAAAGTATAAAACACACTTATTCAAACGGTCATCGTCACTGGTCAATACTAGCAATCACACTGTGAAATAGTCGAAAATGTCCTGACGTTATATTACGTACAATCATGTATAATATATATAATACGGTCATTAGCGTCATATAATATATATATATGTTAGCGTTAATGTATGAAATTCCGTAATTCTATAGAATAACTAGTTATTTTATAGAATTACGGGTACTTTCAGTTAATGTATTGAATGAATCCATAAATATATACTTCAACTAGTTATTCTACATACCAACTAGATATTTTATAAACTAACAATAAGGGTTTAGTTAATGTATTTAAAACTATTATTGAATAAAAGTTTTAATCAAATTACAAGTTACAAACAAAATCAAATATTATAGTATTAAGTCAAACGAGCCTGACAATATTATATAAAAAAATTAATATTAATTTATTTCACATCAATTTATTAGAATAATTATTAAAATCTTAATCAATTTACAAATTAAAAATCAAATGTTATAGTATAAGTCAAACACACCTTACATTATTATATAAAATATTAATATTAATTTTTTTTCACGTCAATGTATATGTATAATTTTTTTTTTTAAATTTACAATTTATTTATTAGTATACAGGAACTTTTTGGGTGGCATTTAGAATTTCAAAGTAAATTATTTTTTAAACATATGCACCGTTTTGTGGTGAACTTTTGTTGGCATGTACATTTAAAAAACCCTTGTCCATTACCAATTGATCGGATGCTTTCCGAAGGCAAATATCTACATCTGAACGTCACTAAGCGTAATAAACTTTTCTGTGCATAAACTAAATTGTGACCTTGCGTAAAGTTGTTTTAGTATACCGTATTTAGTTCCTAAAACAAAATTATTTCTTCACTGCGTACTGACGCCAATTGGCGTCATAAGTATCATTCAGCAACGCGTTTGACGCCATATGGCGTCTACCCTAATAGCACAGACCTTCCCGGGTACCGCCTATGTAGTACCCAATTGGTACCTAGCTGGAACCGCCTGATGGGATATATTACAACCTCCCCGGGAACCGTTTGATTAATGCCCAAATGATACCTAACCGGAACTTCCTGATGGGAAACATATTAATCGTCCCAAGACATACTCAGTTTAGTCCACCAATGTCTATTGCCTTTTACTGCCTTTTAGTAGGTACTTACTTGTACTTAAAGTTATAACTTATAATATACCTACACAGCAGCCTGCAGGTAAACCTATTATTATAGGTGCTCTATGCTTTTACGTACACTGCAGCTGTCACGTATAGGTACACTGCAATTGTAGTATCACCAATATGGCAATATAAATATTATACATTTATAAATATATGAAATAGGTCTTAATTAAAAAATCCCAAACTAGTTTTTATTTCAATTATAAATTATCATAACACATACCTAGGTACTTAATTATAATATAATAATTATTATACTACTATTATATACTTAATTATAATACTTAATAATATCATTATTATCAGTTGAGAGTGTGCGAGTGCCGAGTAGGTTTATTATAATAATATATATTACTAATTAATTATTATATGCATTATAGTAACCGCATAATTATTATATAAGTTCTTATTATTGGTATAATAACTAATAAGTAAAATCATTTAATTTTTGTAAAACATTTTGTGTTCAAACTTCAAACCTATCGTAATATTGATATTAATAATTATTACTCAAACTCAATCATAGTTGAATGTTATTGTTTATGTTTAGTTAATATACAGGCATAAGTAATATTAGGTATGTAATAAGTAAGTATAAGTTTTAAAGTTTATATTTTGTGACTCTTCTAGACCTAAATAGGTAGCATAATAGACCATTATGGGCATATTTTAGGATGTATAAAAAATATATCCTATCTGGTTCATGTCGGGTAGGTCTCATGAATAGTCTCAAAACGGACATTAGGAAGTCTATAGACCAGGGGTCGGCAAGTAATTTATATTGGAGTCCTAACGATTAAAATAGTAAATCAATGAGGTCCAGTGAAAAAAATCTTTTTCAAATCTTTATATTTTAAAAGTAGCAGTATGTCACTGCCTGGAGGAAATGTATGAAAATCTTTATGAGTAGGTAGTTTCATAATGCCGTTTTAAATTTCCACTGTTAATAATAGCGACAGTTGAATTGCAAATTAAACAGACTGGAATGGCTCCAACCCTTTCAGGCATTATAAAACAATATAGTTCAGTCCACAGTAGAGTTCTTAGAAAATCGAAATATTTGGTATTGTCGTGACTCGGCCGACGGCCGATAACATTGTAATAAAACCGATTATTACCTGCCCGATAAAATATTTTTCAATGAATTATGATATAACTATAATCTGAGTTTGATAAATTAAATTAAATAAATGTCTATATTAATAATAATACTATTACAGAAAATAACATAATAAAGTACAATGTGTTGACAGGGTCCATAGTTTTGCCTTCCACGGTCCGGATCCGGACCGCGGTCCGCCAGTTGCCGATCCCTGCTATAGACCCTCCTCAGACTCTACCGGAAGCATATAGGCCCTTTATATTTATGGTCCGCCAGTCTCAATAGACCAGCCTGCGACCTACCTAGGAAGGTCCTTGTGCTATTAGGGTAATATACATTTAAAATTCCCTACGCGTGGCTGAATGTTATTTTATTATTATTTAGCGTGGATTAAACGCATGTTTTTAAATATGTATACATACGTCGTTATGAGCAGTTTCTTTATATTTTTTTTTAATTTCTTTTGTTTTTACTTTTATCATACGCACTGGGTGAAAACTGCAAAAAGACATACGCAGTCAACGTGTTTTAATAAATAAATAAAAAAAAAATTCTTTTTTTCCTGTTTTAATACTTTTCACTTCACTTATTAAGAAATCATATTTTTCTTTTAGCAAAAACGTGCTGTTATTACGCTCTGTTGTTGTATTTTTTATAATTGTATCAAATTTGGTTTTCATTTTAAAGCACACTTATTAGTTATTACACTATACAACACTAAAAATGATTAAACTAACTAGTAAGTAAACTCGCAGTACACTGTCACACGAATAAGTCTAGTCTATGCCAAATGGAGTGGTTCAATACTATCTTATTTTATTATTTTTATTAATAACAACAATGGTAACAAATTTTGTATGTTATCTAATCCAGTCCCGGTCATCTACCTAATGATATAAATTTCATACATTAACGAAAATGTATGAACTGTTTTAAATAAATAGATTTTTATATCTCTATCTATTCCTTTATAGATTATCTTATTTTGATTTTGAGCACATATAATATTTATTTTAATTTTTAAAATACATTCGACATTATAAATATCATCTAACGTAAAGCCTTGTGAGTTATATGTTTTTAATAAACTACATAATTTTAATGCAAGTTCTTTTTGAATTGATCTACCCTCTTTAAGATATTTTATTTTATTTTCATTTAATTCTTTACCTAAGATATTTTTTGTTTTATTAGCAGAACCCTAATAGCACATGAACCCTCCAAGGAAAGTCTTGGGACAGTCTATTCAGGCAGCATATACCATAACGGGATGCTCCTGGTTTGGTCATTAACCATCCTGAAAAGTCGCAAGACGGTCTATAGACTTCCAAACGTCCGAGTTCAGACCGTTTACACGACCTTCCGAATAGGGACCTAATACGACCCTTTATTATATTACCTAATTAGGTGAATTTTAATGCCCATTGAGGTCTTAATTGTTGCCAAACAAGGTCCTATATCAGTCGTTTTAGTTCCTAATTGTTACCTATTTAGTTCCAAACTGCCTTTCAATAGCTGTTGAAAAATTCCTAGTAGTTTCCAAAAAAGAGAACAGCTAGTATTCTTCCTAACAATGAAAAAAAGATACTTATTAATATCTTTTAATACCTATTATTTAAGTTAACATGTTCTTTTTAGTGCTTTCAAAAATACACTGATGATGTATTACTCAAGTATAAGTTTAACTGTGAATACATTATTATAATAAAAAATTATCATTGTTCCAATTAATAAAAATATGATATACTCTTATAAGTTACTGATGCAAAAATATTCACATAAATAATGTATTTAATATAATATATGTACCAGCTGCTTATAATATAGATAAAACAATTAAGTGCCTAAATTAATTAATATAACAAGAGCATTTTGAGGTACAACAAAATGGATAATCATACAAAATAAATACAATAAATTCATAAGTTTTATGTTAAACATTATTCAATTTAGATTAATTTATTACATTATTATATTATATTAATAAAAGATTCTGGTGCCAAATGTTTAAACTATCAATAACAGAGAATAAATATAATACATAATCAAATTCTCATCTACCTACAATAAACAATAAAAATTACTTATAAATAATATATAATTAAAAAAATAATAATAATTTGCTGTTATGAAAATACAATTAATTTACCAGTTGTTAACATGAAAAATCATAAAATATTTTTTGCATAGAAGTATTATGTTAAATAATAAATTTAAATAGAAAAATGATTCAATTAGCATTAAAACAAATCATATTCTTTAAATAAAATTAAAATATTTTCAAAATTAAGAGTCTTGAGAATTATCAATTGGACTGTTGTTGACAATATGTCTTTCATACCGTTCTTTTGCATGTTTTAGCCACCCTGATACTGCTTTGTGTGCAGAAGAGACGCTGGAATTTTTAACGTTTTTGAGAATAGCATCTATAATAATATAATATATAGATCAAAAAATATGAAACATACTTAAGACATACATTTTAATAAAATAATACTCACTTATAATTATTTTAAAAAGAAATAAAGACTTGAGAGGTTCCTTTTCTTTTTTGTTCATTGGACCTTTGCCTGTTAAGGATACTTGTCTTCCAAGATTATTTGTAAATACTAGATCCATAATTGATTTAGTTACTTTCCCAATGTTTGAACCATGGTAGCATTTTAACTTTTTTATCTAAAAATATGAAGTATAATAATTAAAATGTATATATATTATATAATATGGATTATACATACCAGTTTTTTACGGAACACATCATCATTTTTTAGACTAATATTAATTTCTCTTAAAGAGTCTAAGTCGTCAATAGGAAATCCTCCAGGAAAAATATCATCGCCATAGTCATCATTATCATCAATACTTTTATCTTGAAACTTAACAATTTTTAAAACATCTTTTAGTAATTCCTCTTGCCTAGACATATCCAAAACGAGTTTGTTTATTTTGGTATTCATTTCTGTCAGTTTTGTAACGACATATAGCTGTGAAGTCTTATCATACCCAACTAAAAATAAATTCAAACAAATAACATTCAAGTACAAATTAAATGTATTACAAGAACAAATATACATAAAATTACCATTTAATAATACATTCAAATGTAAATTTAATTTTACATACAATAATTTACCTTTTTTTGGCTGAATGGCCGGAGATTGGGATGGAAAGAGATTTCTTGCTACGGAATTAATTTTTGAATTAGGTGGAGTCACAGGAGAAATCAACAGTGATGGAGATAAAACCACATTATTGTTTTCTGTTAAGCTACTTGCAGAAAGGTCATTATAGTTATTAATAACTGTAATTGAACCATTTTCATTTTTATTAGATTGAGATCTTTTTAATTTTGCTGAAAAATGTATTAAAAATAACTATTAAATATAAAATAATATAAAATATACTTAGAAGAAATCAATATTAGTAATTATCAAAATATAAATGAAACAAATTTTATAAATATGACCCTATTAATATAAACATATTGTTAGTAAAGATTTATAGTATAGGTACCTAACGCCGTATTGGGTGTATTGTGTTTGGACAGATCGTGTTTTTTAGAACGTAATTTACGAAATATATTTAACATGTTTTTATGATTTTTAAAATGTTTTTGAACGATATCGTACGTCAATTGATCGAATTATAATTCCTTCAAATTTCTTGCACACGTTGCCAAGTTATCGTCGACAAATCGGGAACGTCGTTATTCGTCAGTAAATATAAAAATATTATTTCAGACTTTTCGATTTCGGAAATGGTCACCGGCGACGAACATCTCAAACATTTGTCGACGTACGTACACGCTTTCAAAACTCTATCCCTAGCCGCTGTTCGTTTTTCCATTACGTACGGCGTTAACGGTTTTTCAATCGCGGTCGGTAAAATTTTTTGTACTATATTAGAATTTTTTTTGTATTTTTTTAAATCGTATATCGTTGCGCTCGCGTTTAAAATATTTATTTTTCCCGGATAATACGGTCGCGTAACCAAAGTGGTATCGGCAACATTTATCGGTTCCGGAACATACGGTTCGTAAAATGACGTCGTATTATCCGTATTTATCGGTTCCGGGACGTACGGTTCGACGGAAGAATCGCTAATTATTTGTTTACTCGTATTACTGTTTACCCGTTTCGAACGAGTCGCCATGACGATATGAGGATCGGCCGAACGCGTTGATATTTTTTTATTTGTTTTCAAAGCGGTCGTTTTATTTTTTTTTTACTTTATTTATACAGTCGATCAATTTATTTTTATCGGAAATCGGCAATCGGACGATTAAAGATATTTTTTTTTGCGGCGAAATTTTTTTAACAAAATCTAATGGTTTATCGTATTTTTTTTTTAACTGGCTTCTAGAAAATGTAACCGCGCGCTTATTATCTAAATCGGCGCTTTTTTTCGAATCGACCGCCGAAATATCGTGATTTTTTTTTAAATTTAAATCTACTAATCCGATAGTGCAATTCGGATTTAACGTGTATTTTTTTAAATGTGATATATCGGTGTTCGGATTACATTTGACTCTTCTCGATAACTTGACACGCGACGCCTCCGATTCGGACTTAAAGACCGGCCGTCGATCAAATCCTCCGCCGACAAACGTCTTTTCGTATTTGACGTTTCTAGACGATCGTGACCGTCGTTTTTCTCCCTCGGACGTCGGAGATCCGTCTTCTGCGGTTGGATTGTCGGGTTTGACACTTTTTGACGATACCGGTAGTTGTTTTTCTTGCTCGAACGACGTAAATCCGTCGTAGACAGTCGGTTCCATGCGTTCGACTGTTTTCGATGAAGCCGGACGTTTGTTTTCCGACTCTGGTTCCGACGATTTTTTGTCAGCGGTCGGCTTTTCGGAATTTACGTTTTTAGACGAACTCGAACGTTTTTTTCTAGGCTCGTACGCCAGAGATTTGCTTTCGACGGTCGAGTCTATACGTTTGACGTTTTTTGACAAACTCGTACGTTCTTTTTTCGGCTTCGGAACCGGCGATTTTTCGCCGACGTTCGGCTCGGTCCGTTCGACGGATATTGACGAACTCGTACGTTTATTTTTCGGCTCCGGCGATTTCGCGTCGACGTTCGGCTCGGTCCGTTCGACGACAGATATCGATGAACTCGCACGTTTTTTTTTCGACTCCGGCGATTTTTCCTCGACGGATCTCGACGAGCTCTGACGTTTATTTTGCGATTTAGACGTTGAGGATTTAATATCGGTTGTTGATTTATTTTTAAATATTTTCGATGAAATTAACAATTTTTGATCATTCAAACTATTTACGGCGGTACTAGCGATAGTATCGATTGTTGTTGAATCCGCCGGTGCACTGTAAAACTCATCTGTTGTTTCTCGCATACTCGTATTCTGCGTAACGGCTTTGTGATCGGCATCTTTCGATTTGTGTTTTTTTAAAATTTTTAACTCTGCACTGCTTAAATTTTTCTCGTTTTTTAAAGCTTCTGAAACAATTTCATTGTGTCGTGCGGGTGCGATCAATTTACACATTTGATCGTAATGTTCGAGCATCACAAAAGAAGCACAGTTAACGCCGCTCAAGTACATTTCCATGTTTTTATTCAATCGAAAAACAATATATTTTTTTAAGTTAAATATTAATCTTCAATAACATAAAAAAATTTTACAAACTTTAACACTTTATATTATATTAGACTAGAGAATCGCACTCGTAACCGAATACTTGATTAATATCGAAAGACTGATACGTGTGTACGTGCGTCGGACGTGTTATATATTGTGGAAAAAAACGATTATCCCGTTCAGTTTTCCCTAAAGGCGCGTTTGTCCAATGAGAAACGTTTAACGTTAATCTATTGTTAATGGTGACAATATTAGTAAAATTCTCTGTATTTTTAAATTACACAATATCCGTATAATATTTAAGTGTTTTATAATGAACAAGCAAACGTTTCAACAGACGATAATTATTGTAATGTTTATTGTTAATTTTTACATAATCAAAACAGTCTGATCGTTGTCGATTTTAAGATCGACAAATACCTAGTAGATAAATACTATTTCCAACGATGAACTCGTAACCTCATCGACGGATGTGATATATTTGTACATATATAATATTTAAATTATTTTTTGAGAAAATATTCGAAACACAGACGTCGGATATTTTTCCGCCAAATAAGCGACGAGTATAAAAATTGAATATAACACAAACGTTAAAATTATAGTAAAATTCAACGAATAATTTGTGGAAAACGTCAAATTTTTTACATTTTTATTTTGTTGTTCTGCAAAAAATACAATTGTTTCGAGCACTGTCGGCAATTCTAACGTGAGATCCGGTCTTAAATGTATAGGACATGTTATATCAAAATTGTAAATTTCTTTAATCATATTTTGTTTGGCAAATCTAGGTATTATGATTTTTCGTAATAAATCCATGTTGAATAATTTACACGATAGACTGTTTACGGGAATATAATATAATTGTCCGTCATCGGTCATCCGATTTACCCATTGTACGGTGCGTAGACTATTAAATTCAGCAGTAGTTAGACGCATTTTATAAAATAAATTTCACAAAACAAACGTAGTTATCGCATAATATGTTATTGCGCGAAATACAATATTTCTCTATATTTATGATATATAAATATTATCTAACCGTTTAAAATATAAAATATTTAATTTATTTAATTGTAATATTAAATAAAATTTGAAACTTCTAAAGTTTACTATTATATTACAGAGGCGGAACTAAGAATTTTTACGCCCGGGGAAAATATTAAAATTAAGCCCAATCATAGAATAAGATTGAAAATACAATATCATTCCCTACAATTGTTTTATCATAACTGGAACTAAAATTACAAACATACTTATTAACTTTTAAACACATAATAATATATAGTAATTAATATATTCTGTGGACTGTGGTGTAACCAAGTTTATACTAATAAACTATCACACCAAAAACACTTTAAATTTAAAAACTTATAGTCAACATATTGTTGATACATTTTTAATTACTGGAAATACTGTATTGGTTACTTAATTGTATTTATTATTAGAAATAATAATAATATTAGTTATATATAAATGTTGAAAAATAATCAAAACTTTAATTACCTACCTATCCTGTATAAAAATTGTAAACACTTTTGCTGTTTTGGTTCTATGCGCCTCAGCCTTCAATCATAATAGATTTTTATGGTAAAATATAAAATCTTTTATTCTGATTAGGGTACACAATTTAGGCCAGTAAAAAATTGTATTTAATTAAACAATTTATAATAGAAAAAATGAAAAAGTAAATATTTAAAATCAAATCTCTTTTTTTAAACATAAACAAATGTATAACTATCTTGGTAAATATATTACTATTATAATATATTAACATCATTTTTAATATACAGATATAATATTATACGTATCGTACGTTGATTGATAATCTTATAACAGTTATTGTGTAGGTATCAGAAATTTTAACGAAAACACATCATCAATAAATGCCTAGGTATAGTTACTAGTTACATTTTCACTCAGAATCTTAATAATTATTATTATAGTATATTAGTTGTATATGCTTGCAGTAGGTATGCTAATGCCAGTATACCAGTATATACTTAGTATACTAATACGAATCTATTCATAATCTTACCATTAACTTTATTTTTTTTTTTTTCATTAATTCCAACGTCATCACTACAACATCATAAACAAATAAAGTAAAATAAAAATGTTTTCTTAACTTCTATCACCAAGCATTAAATAAAGAACTAAAGAAAAATTACGTCCACTAAAATTTTACGCCCGGGGATCAATCCCCGGCTTCACCCCCCTAGTTCCGCCCCTGATTATATATCAATGATAGTATCAGGATTTGTTATTGATGTTGATGTATAACGTGTTATAAGTACCTAATGGATATTGTGATAATGTGATATGATTAGTTTGGAATTTATTATAGGTCAATTTTTTTTTAATACCATAGATATGTATATAATTTGTCTTAAACCTAGACTGACATACCGTCTTCGCTCAGAATCGTTTTTCTTATACAATGATATTGTATCATTGAATTCAAATTTAATACCATCCATTATACAGTGACCCACTTGTAACCTACAGTACAGCAGAGCGACATCCACTTACCCACCTTTTTATTACACATTTTCACTATTATATCTAATTAATCTATGTGATGTGCGCACACCTGCACACCTAGGCACGAGCCGCCACTGGTCTATATAGTAGAGGGGTAATTCAAAATTGTTTATATATACACCTCAATGTTTATGATCTTACCACTTCTGATTTCATTTTGATTGAGGACTCTTGTGTAGTGTGTACAAACAACTTCGAATTTCGATTTGAGTATTGTATGTGCATATTGATTGTTTTATCGAGTTTTTCAAGATTTTGAACTGGTTGGACATGGCTGGTAAGAATTAATTAAGTATAATTTATTTAAATAACAATTAAACTTTTATTTTAAAATTAAGAAACAGGAATTTGTTGCTCAATTTTCTATTAGGGAATTAGTATTGTTTTAGGTATATTAGGAATGTTTATTACTAGGGTAATAAATTTCATTTTCATATATATTTCGGAACAAATTTTCAACGTTTTAAAAATTTAAGTGTTAACAGTTTTTCCGGAAATCATGAGTTTTTTATGAGTTATAATCATTATAAAAAATTATAAAAACATTAATAAATATATACTCTAATATTACAAAAACACATCGGGTAGGTCACGGGGTAAAAACCAATTGTATTTTATAAACACATAGATATCGTAGATACTAATTTAATTTTTTTAGAGTTATAACTTACCTACTGTTGTAAACAGTGATTCATAATTTATGCGTGTTTAATAGCTAGCTAAAAAGAAAAAAATAATGGTCACAACGTTTTTGTAATACTTTTTTAAAAACATTGAAATACATGTTACCAAAAATCATCTGGAATTTCGAGGGGGTGCTCAACTAGAATTATACCCATATTTCATATACTTATGATTCTAGGGAAAAAAATCTATACCGTTGGGTACAGCTGTCAAAAATAATAATTAATAATAATAAAAAATATATAAATTAAGAATGGTAATTATTATATTATTTTAATATTGATAAACAGGTACATATTATACTACCTATATCATATATGATATTGCTATATAAATATTTATTTATTTATTTATAAACAGATAGGTATACCCTTTGGTAATAAAAATTAAAAGCATAGTAAGTTGAATCTCAATTTGACAAATATTATACTGATATTTATTAATATTATATTATAAATTAGTTAATATTTTAAAAATTAATCGTATTCCTGTTTATGAATCCTAACATCTTAAGAAGATGTCAGCGCACTATTTGTTTTCTCTCTCTGGCCCACGCGCAAATATAGACAAAACGTTTGGTAAAAATGTTGTATTTTCCTACCATAATTTTTTCAAAGAAATTTTTTCTTGCATATTTATTGCATGTTTCCACGATTTTGACTAAATACTTATTAAATGACATAATATTTTGATACTCTTTAGTGTATACAATCTGTGCTCTACTCATAAGTGAACTCATAGGTATCTGATATACTATAATAATTAAAATACTTAATAAACTACAAAAGTATACTCATAGGCTGTATTAAGTTATATGTATATATATATTTTTTTTTTGGAGGGGGGGGGGGGCTAAAAAATGATTTTGGTATTTTTTGCCAGTAAAATGTCTATAAATAATAAAATTATTTAACTGGTACTTTTGATTTAAAAGATATTAATTTACTGTAGAAATTGCAGAAATAGTTTATTATTATTATTATTAGGTTTTATGACAAATATAAAATATTACATGTTTGTTTAACAGACGAATTGGATAATGGTTATCCACCGATTGGTGGTGGTCCAAGTGTGGCCTTACAAGGTGAAAACCGAAATTCTGTTATTTATAGAGATGCCGTTGGTTATGAGTACCATATGAATTGGGAAGTACGCGATACCAGGTAAACTAACTATTTAGTATCAATTATTATGTATGTATAGGTACCATTCAATGAGTTTTTTAATTTATTTAGATATCTACGATGTGCCAGAAGATACGCTGGTTGTAGAGTGACAGCACATATGGGGTTAGAACCAGGGGCACCAATAATTCTTGGAAATCGACAACATCTGCACCATCCACGTTCGTTAGATGTAAGACTATTTCTCAATGTATTGAGAGAACGCGGTGGTCGAGAAAATGCTACTCCAGCTCAAATTTATAATGAAGTAGCACCACAGTATGTATATAACTATTTTCCTATTAAGTCAAGCAACTATTTATATCAATAAACAAGTATAAATATGTAAAAATAATTTTTTTTAAATTTAGAAATGTAAGAGCAGCAGTTGTTGTTGGTAGACCAGCTGCCATTCGGACTATAGCCCGTGCTAGAAGAAGATTGAGCCCACCAATCCCCGAATCTCTTCAAGAATGGGCAGATATTATAAATCGTCCGGAGTGGCGTGAACGATTGATATGGTGCAATGGAACCAACAATCGTTTTTTCCAGGGACGACTCGATATTCTGGATGGAGGA